GCAGCAGAACATCCACAGTATGATGAAATGTCTTTGCAGGAGACCACGTAAATGAGCATCAGAACACAAGTTGCCAGAATCTTTTACCCAGTAGGGCTGACAGTGGCTACAATGAAAGGCAGCTTATAGCAACTGAAACTGCTGTACACATAATTTGACACATAATGAGAAACATTTTGACAAAAACACCCAAACAATCTTATGTCTGTGAGCCAAATTAATAAGCTCTTAAAGAGAACTTCACAAAAGCATCAGCAGGCCTAATTTGGTCCCAGGTCAGTTGCTTATTACTACTGCTTTAGAGTTCAGTTTGAAAGTTCGATCTTTCAGGTAAAACAGTAACAGTAAGAAATTACAAAAAAGCTTAACGGACAGTCAAAACTACCGCTCAAGTTAACAGAGTAACAAAAACATTGAATAAAAACAGCACAGTGAATAGCCCTTAGGTCACAACATTGTAATGGTTTTATTCATTCATTCCCGCAGTTTGTTTTTGAATACCTGGATATTGGTTGAAAGCCTGTGTGTATCAAGTTCCATCAGGATCTTTTGAATGAATTCAAAAGTGTACCTTAGGTCAGTTGGATAGCTCAGGTTCAGGTCACATGATCCCAAACAGTAAGGCCCAAGCAGTGGCGACATCATTGAGTTCATGAAGCACCTCCAAACCTCCAACTATGATGCCAACATCTTCTGGAGACTGATCAATGTCTGCATCTGGATGTTTAATCACGTAGATGCCGATGAACGTCTGTTCCAACCCTGCAGGTTTACTTGCCAGTTAGCAACGAGGGTAGGGCAAATAAGAGTGAACGGCAACAGTTGCATACAGTGTGTTATGTGAATAGTGTTACTATGAAGATGGTGGTGAGGTGGCAGATTTATTACACAAAGTAGCAGCAGAAACTATAATATGCAAGTAATTATACACAAACCTGGTCAATGACAGCCATAATGTTTTTGACTTTGTGTCTCCTACTGCTCCGCCTTTCTTACGGACCACTCTGGCCAAGTTGTCAGAGTAGTGGTCCAGCTGATCCAGCTGGGACAAATACTTCGAGATAAGCGTGATGGTGCACTTATTTCAACAAGACAAAAACAGACACAGTACAGAAGAAGATTAACATAAGGCTTAAAATCAAGTCTGACAAAGGTAATGTTACAAGATTACCATATCCAAAATCCCAAAACATATTTATTCTCAGTCACATATTGCCATAAACAGATATATTTTCCAGCCCAAATGTTATACAGATGTTCAGTGATTTAAATTCTGAAAACCCAGTCATACTATCTGTTAACTCAGTTTATTAAACTTGCTTTAAATTAGAAGATTACATCTACCATATTTTCAACACTTTGATTAGTATGTTACCTGCTTAAATGACAATGAAAAGAATTCCAGGTTTGGAAAACACAAGGGCAATCAAAATAAATGCATAGATGTGAGTCTGCGGCCAAAGCTGCAATGAGCTAACCTGTAGTGTTTTAGGAGATGGACTCTTGTTGATACAGTTGTCCCACGGTCTTTACAAGACCACATTTATGTCTGTTGGAAAAAGAAAGTGAGATTAACATATAAATGCAACATATCAATCAACTGCCTTACTTTACAGATGCTAACGGAGCTGACAGCGCTTTTCAGCAGTATCTGAGGTATATCCTACACTGTAACAAAACATACATTATTATACGTATGTGATAATCCACCGCTTCACGGATTGATTTTTCAACGGCTTTGTTGAAAACAAATGCAAACGCCCGGGAGTAAGGTTAGCAAACCAGAGGAAGAGTGACCAGACTTGGTTCCACTCACCTCACCTCAGCCTCTGCCACAATATAATGTATAAAAATTACCAGACACTAATTGCTTCATGAAGTAGAGGCAGTGAAAAGATGTTTACTTAGCTTTATTTAGAGGATGGCTGCAGATGTATCCAATGCGTGTATCTCCATGTGCAATGAAAAGGATATACATAATTGTGAACGAGATTAAAGAAGACATATTGTGTTCTGAAAGGGGCAAATTTAAGTGATTCCGTTTTACATCTTTTTTATTTTACAGAGTTGAGTTGGGGAAACTTAACAGCCAAATAAACCTGACATTGCATACTTTCACTTTCAAACACTACAACTATCTCAAGATGATACAAACAACTCATGGTCTTTGAGTAATTAAAATATAATGTTTTATAGCCAACAATAATGACATTCCATGAATGAACACTAGTAACATCAACTTATTGGGACATACAGTATGTACCTCAGATATCTGGTTATCACCTACATCAATCCATCAAACCTATAAATAGTCAATAACAACCAATGGTACTTTCACATATTGTGCAGTCAGACTTTTCACCAGCATCGATGCACCCCCACATCTTCACACCATTAAAAGGGTCCGCACAATTTATATGTGTTAGTGGCTAGCAAAGAAATCTCTGAATAAGATGCTATGCCCTGCTATACCATGCACAGATGGGAGTGGCTTATAAAGACACCATGGCTGTTTTGAATTTAGGATGAAAGTGCCATCCTAAGATTCTGGCTGTCCTAAAGCTAGCGAGGAACTTGCATTGTAGATTATTTCTCTGCAGCACATTTATGTTGTTATCTGTTGATGAGAAAATAAACTTTAAGGTGATTGTGGTAATATATATATCCAGTCCACATGATACACCACAAGCATAGTTTCTCTTCACTCTTCACTGTGGAAAGCATTTTAACAACCTTTTTGCCACTTAAATCTGTGCCTGCATGAGGATAAGAGATTATAATTCAGCAGAAAATCTCAGTTTAGCAAAATATCTGACCACAACAGTACTTTACCATGGTACACAAATGCACACACACAACACACATCTACCTTGACTCCTCCAGGGGCTGGAATCAGCCTATCAGACAGCTGAGGCAGGGTCCCAGTAGGGGTGCAAGCAATATAAATGGTGCTCCCAGCTCCCCATTAGTCTGTCTGAGAGGAAGATGTAGGGGGTGGACATACAGGGTGGGGTGAGGCTCAGGTGCTGAGCAGGCAGGCCTCCTCTCGTCTTATCTAAGTTGTTGTACTTTTTGGTCAAACTGCCGCCATCCATCTTAAGCCAAGCTAAACCTTAGAGCTACCTGGAGACTAACTATTCAGCTCTATTTTAGCCTTTAAAGAGGAAGTAGAAGTGTATTATCAAATGTATTATTATGCAGTTTACAATGACTCAAGTATTGTGTTGAAATCAATTAGCTTTGTTTTGTAAGTTCTTAAAATACAGTAATCATTGTGTTGGACCTATCAATATGAGATTTCAGCTTGATTAGGGATCTTGATGAATCAAGTGAACTAGGTCAATGAAATATTTTTAGATGCTTAGAAATAGTGTTGCAGTCTTCAGCTCATTGAAACTCTTGGATAACTGTCAAAAGATAGTGTGTTTTCATCAGGATGAGAGAAGGGCATGGTGTTTGTTTTTAAACCTGCGTTCTGGCATCTGTTTTGTCCAACACTTTTAATAATCCACAGAGCCTATAGACCTGGTCTCTGTTTTCTCGATATGAGATAGTCTGAACTTCTGACTGATCAGCGGTCATGTGTGTGCATTGGGGCCGGAAGCAAGTGGGTCTCTTTGTCCTGGTGGCAGCAGGTGTGTAAATAACATCCCAATATCAAATAAAGATGAAGAGCTGAGGGACTGAAACACACACTGCCTTCCCCGTCTCCTCATCAGACTGCAGCTCTGATTCCAGTTCATCTGCTCATCATCAGCATCGCCCCCCGGCTGCACAGGGCTCCCTCCCTTCCTCTCTTGTGTGCTGGGCCACTTGTTATAATTCTGGGTCTGTAGGCCTAGTGTGTTCCGGCATAATTTTGCCAAGTGTCCTGCTTACGCGCAGGCTGACAGCTGCTCCCAAATCCACTGCTTCACTGAACCGAATTACAAGCCAGCAGGCCTTGTTTGCCTCACATTGTTGGTTCCTGTTAGGAAAATAAGCACAATCCATGGTGGCGAAGGTGCAGTGCAATGGACCCAATGTAAAGGTAAATAGGAAATCAGACTAAACAGAACTGTTAGTCTTACAGTGGGCTGTAAAACGTTATGGTACTATTGCTTGAAGTTTTTAGTACGTTGTCACGTCAGTAAATACAATTAGTACTTTACTGGGATTTAATAGTATAGACCAACACAAAGTAGTACATGTGAAGAGTGGGGTGTGGCTGGTTCTAACATTTTTAAAAACATAAATTTGGCAGGTGTTCCATGCATTTTTGTTCAGAATCCATTATTACTGCAATTACAGCTGCAGGTTGTTCGCTTTATGTTCATACCACCTTTTTCCTACTAGACCCTTTTGCTTTGCCCATTCTATGTTGCAACATGACTCAGACTCCTTTTTTCAAGTCATGTTTTTTATTTGGATTTAAGTCTGGACTTTGACCGGGCCATTCTAACACATGAATATGTTTTGATCTTGATCATCAGGACTGTCATGTAATTAGCTTTATACATCTTCCCATCATCATCTGCTTCTCTGTGCCTGGTGAAGAAAATTCTAACAGCATGATGCTGCCCTATACATATTGTTTTGCACGCAGGTCAAAAGTTACATTTTGGTCTCATCTGACCAGAGCACCTTGTCCTACATGTTGGCTGTGATTTCCCAAGCTTCAAACATCTCCTAGAGCACTGTTCAATCCATCATCTGAAAATGGAAAGCTAACATAACAAGAGATGGCTGTGAAGCTAAACTGACAACTGAGCAACAAGACGATTAATCAAAGAAACACTCAAGAGGATCATCTTTACTTTAAAGGTGCTGCAGAGGTACAAAGCTCAGGTGGAAGAATTTGTTGAATCTGCACTTCACAAATCTGGTCATCATGTCGGTGTGGCAAGCTTAAAGCCATAAGATGTCCTGTTTCATTTTGGCCCAAAGCCACACAGGGGGCACAGCAAACATTTAGAAAAAGCTCTTCTTGTCAGATGTGACTTATTGGCTTCCATGCAGTGCTGCACGGTGGTGCAGTTGGTAGCACTGTTGCCTTGTAGCGAGGCTGTCCTGGGTTCAACTCCTGGCCTGTGGTCTTTCTGCATAGAGTTTGCACATTCTCCCCGTGCATGTGGGGAGGAACATCCTGTGTTCTAAAAACATGACCAGTTAGATGAACAGGTCTCTCTAAATTGCCCTTAGGTATGAATAGGTGTTTGCATGGTTGGTTGTCCTGTGTTGCCCTGCGATGGATTGGCAACCTGTTGAGGGTCTACCCCGCCTCTCACTCATAGACCGCTGGGGATAGACACCAGCTCCCCGAAGACCATGGATGGATGGATGGATTCAATTCAATTCAAAAATACTTTATTAATCCCAAAGGGAAATTAAATGTTGTTGTAGCTCATTATGAGGGTTTCTTCAAAGAGCCGTTGTAGATGCTGATGGCTGTGGGCAGGAAGGATCTCCTG